TATTTACGCTCTCTGCAGTAAATGAAAAAAAAATAAATAAATAAAGTATGAGTATTTTCCTGAAATACATATTGGGAAACGGAAAAGATAAGAGTCAGAATCGGGGAAAAAAGTACTTCGCTAAAAACTGAATGCGTTTTCTTTATTCATATGACAAATACAACACCGATTATTAAAATTGTGATTTATATATCGTTTGCCACCCATACTAGTTGGATTCTACACGAATGCACTGTATGCCATTGCTTTGCGGACTAGCCTTAGATAAGATAAAGACACAACTATATATAACTATACATATATTGCATACTGAACTAGTATTAAGGGAAAACCGAAAAAAAAAACAAAAACGAAACTCGAAACTTCGACATTTGTCCATGCCCCGCTTTTTACGCCGCACTTTGTTTTCATTTCGTTGATCAAATGTCACGATCAGAACAAGCGGCGAGAAAAATCGAATGGAAGCACGATTAAATTAATAAAACTAAACAGTAATGGCCGCAGTAGACACAACAGACCTTTCATCAGTCTTGCCACTCGATGTCAGACGTCGGTCGCTCGTCACGCCCCTATACCATGTGCCATGTGCCATGCGCCTTGTGTCGTCATCTTTAGATCTTTAATCACATTTAACACTTTTAGGAAAAAAAAAAAAATTACATACACTTATGTACAGGCTCGTATGTATGTATTTAGGTGTGTGCTTGAAATGGACATAAAAGCATTCCCTCATGATTGGATCTTGTACAACTATTGCTTGTTTTCGTTCTTTTGGGCAATTTGGTAATTTCTTTATTGGTTTTTATTGTCATTGTTTCATTTTTGTGCATTGGAAAGTGTGTGTAGTTATTATGTTATTGTCTTTCGATTCTCATTGCTTTATTTTCTTGATTGCTTTTACGGGCTTTTTGTTGTTGTTATTTTTGTTGAGTGAAAGCCACGCATTGCACTCTTTGTGGACTGCGGAGACTAAATAAGTTTTTGTGAGTCGGCCTCGCCAGATTTTGGCGTTTTAGATGCGTGTGACATTTGATGCCGAGTCTAAACTTTCGCCATGATTTATTGGTCAACACAACTTGCTAGCTTGGGTCTCGTCCCATTTATCTTCGCGCTTTCATAAACTTAGCAAAAAACTTCTTTAAAATAATTGATTGCGTCATTTAAATAGTGTTGCATGTAATGGATACCTTGACATGATATTTAATTAGCAATTAAAGTGAAGCCGACTCATGCAATGACTATTTGATAGGAGAGCTCACACATAGTTGGAGGATAGGAGAAGATCATGCAGGGAATCGTACAAGTATATTGGATTCTCAGAGAGTAATTACTTAATTTCATATTCACAGCCTTAGCAAGAAGTAATGATGTGGAATGATATATTAGTCAACGTATGTATAAAGATTAGTAAGATAGTATGCGGTTGAAACTGTTCGGCAACACAAATGTGATTTATGTCCAGCCTATCAAAAGAGGTATTACTGTATTTTTGCTGTCGCCTTCGGCATCACCATGACATTGACCTGCGCCTATAGAGTTCAGAGTTTTATGTGCATTGCTAAATCTACGTTTTTGTTTTTGCTTCGGTCATTATTGGTAATGCGTTGATTGTTGATCGCAACTGACGGCTGCATCTGCTTATAATTATTTTGTACTCGCCACTCGCCTCAGATGCAACACATGGCGGCAAGAAGCGCGCCTTACTTGTCAGGAAACTTTAATCCCTTGGCTGTTGCCATTTTAAGCAGACACATAAATAATTTGATCGCTGTCGCTCTTCCATAGCTTTGACTTTCCATTGAAAATAAATATTTATATACAAGTTTATGGGTATTCGTGCAGCGTTACTCGTCCCATTGTTGTATATTTTTCTTAGTATCGTCTATTCAAACGAACCACAAAGGTAGAATGCAGCCTAGAGGATTAAAACAACACAAGCTCAAAGGTACTACAAATTAGTGGTAATTTCTTCAAGAAAGTTTTAAGTGTATTAAACAGTGTATAGAAACAGTTCTATTAAATATTTGTAGAATAAGAATAAGAAGAAGTATTAGCAACAATTTCATAAAAGTAAAGTAAAACAAACTACTGGCCTTTAGTAAAAATGACTAAAAATAGCTTTAACCGTAATTTTATTATTTTTTTCCTAATCGCGTGACTGTCTTATAAGTATTTGTTGATATACGACTTTATTTTGAAAACAAGCAAGAGTTCATCTCCACCCAAGAGTGACGGTTTAGGGAGCAATTGTGAGCTAAGTTTTGTATTTTTGCTTTCTTTTTACGAGTATGTCGTTCTTTTAAAAAACAACTCCAGCCCAAACAAAAATATTGACTGACTCATAATCATGGTTTTATACCCGTAAGAGTATAATTGGTATCTTTCCTGCCAGACAGACGGCCATTTAATCAATTGTGTAAAAAGTGGTCCACAAACACTCAAACTATATCCAATAGCCATTTTCTCTGGCGTTTGGTGTTGTTGGTGGTGCTGTTGGTGGTTTTATGCGGTGCGGATGTTGCGCAAGTGCACCACCAGGCGTCCGCCAGGCAGGCGACGCCTGTGAAAAATTGTTGCCACTGTAATACAAATTAATTCGATTTGAAAGCACTTTTGCAAACGCAAACGTAAGCGTTTGCTTCAAAATGCCTCAAATGCCCAAGTGACAGGCCCGCTCGCATTTTATAGGCCTGGCCGCGGCATACACTTCATGCGGCAACCACAAAATACAATCGCATATATGTATGTGGGACTATGTGAATAATATATGTATCTATATACTCGTATGTGTGTGTGTGCACACCCACAGTTTCTCCGCGCCGCAATGTTGTGCATAGATAATGAACTCTGGCCACAGCAGTTGTTGACGTCTCTTGCCAACTTGCAACTCAATTAATGGCAAAACTCTCACGTGCATTTTTTGTTGTTGTTACTATTTTCTTGATTATTTTTTGTGTAGCCACAGAAATGCCTTTTGCCCCACCCACTGCACTTGGCGTTGGCTGCAGCACGCAGGTGTCTCCAGTGGTGGCCACAGCTTCGCAACTACAACAACTACAACAATAACAACAACAACAGTAGTTTGTGGAAGTGAAAGTTTGATGCAAGTGCTTCGGAAAGAAAGAAATTCTACAAGCGATTGTCGAGCATTTAATGAAATAAATTATATATATTTAACATTGTTTAATTAATTGCGCGCACGTCTCATCCATTAATTCAATCAATCGATCAATCGCTCGAGTGAAAATTTAAGCAACGCCGTCGAATTTCACGATCCACGCAACCTTGTTAGCGTCTCTCAAATCAAATGCCATGGTTTCACATCAGCAAAATAATCAGATGTTTGGCAAATATTTGAAATAATAATAAAACGAATATTTTTATTACACCGAATCCATTATACCCTACGCAGTTCTATTCCACTTACTATACCATGCATACATACATACTTATATTTAATCAAAATTTCAGAAGAAGAATTACCCTTCCTTTATCAGCTTTATTACACAGAGTCCTTAAATTCAATCTAAGAGATATGTTAAACCCAATTTAGATTAATCTAATAATCTTTGAACTTAGTTTTTCAATTATTGTTCGCATTTTTTTCTTTTTAAATGTTTGTATTATTGACCAGTATTATTTGCTCAGTTGTCCAGCAGTGCTGATCACAGTTTCAATCACATATGTGTATGATCAGTGAATAAAACAAATTAATAATGATTAATACCGGAAACGGCAAGTCGAAAATATTGAAGTTATAACGCCTTTTTCAAGGGTATACTATACGTATGCTATGAAGACGATTTACAAAATTTGCACAAGAAACCGAAAATAAAAGAAATGGAAAAACGACGAAACGGCAAAGACCTCAAATGCGTACATTTAGCCAATTCGACGTGCCTTTTGCTCCAATTGGAGCCGAAGATGTTACACACTCTCCAGCAAGTTATATAATTAATGTTAATTTCGTCCGACAATCTAAACAAAGTCCGACGGAGCTTAGCAATGCAAATTTTAGCAGGCGTCCCATTCAGGTTGTAGTAGTAGTTGTTGTTGCTGCTGGTGTTGTTGTTATTGATGTTTGCTAGTTATTGTTATTCAATTTCAGTTTGTTTGCCATTGTAAAGTGCGCGATAAAGTGCGCCGCGACATCGGCTGAATGAATACATATCTTTTGATGTGGGGACTCTGCTCGCACGATGCGTTTGTGTGACGACGTGTGACAAAAGTGGAGCACATTTTGAATTTGTGTTTATTTTGATTTCTTAGCTCAACAAATAATATTGAAAAGTGTTACAAATTGCACATAGAGAGCAATAACAGTAGCGGCAATAACAATACGTATAATGGCATGACATAATGTTTATCGCCGCTGTTCCTTGTCTGTTTGGTTGTGTTTTGTTGGTTGATTGAGGAAGTGCGGACGTATTTGTGTTGATTTGTGTCAGCGGTAAATTAATTATTTATGTACGTGTATGTGCTTTTTAACTATTATTTGCAAAAGCTTAGCATAACATTTGTCATTTTAAACAGTCAGCTGTTAATTGTTTGCATCCCCGCTTTTATGGCACTAAACGCTAAATTGTATAAAATAAATCAGTATCTGGCAGGCGGTTCCGTTTCAAATGCACAATTATTTGGTTATAGAAAGTATAAACAGGATTGAGATTGTAAAATGTTGAATGGCCATTTGGCAACGGTATCTCAAGTGTTTTCGGGCCGCATACGCAAAATATATTTGGCGCCTTCATTTTTGCGTCGTATGCGCAACGTTTCGAAAACGTGTGGGCGCCGATATTGCTCATACGCCTCGTATTCGTTGGTTAATTAAAAAGTATGTGTGTGCACATGGCTCGTCAGGCAGATTTGCCCCCTAGATAAGCACCATCCAGGTCCCAATATGGAATTTATTTAATTCACATATGAAATGCTATTCCAATGACTCAACTCACTGCTGTTGCCCTATTAATAAATGTTATCTGCTATCTGCTTTATTTCAGGATCAGTACGATAACCTATCAATTCACACAAACAGAGGCATCGAAGCGCTGGATAAATATGCAAGTTTTGTACGAGATCGAGTGGCCATAGAATCAGAATATGCAACCAAATTAAGGTAAGGCTATAATAAGATCTATAAGCAATGCATGATTACAGGTAATATAAATGGGTAATGAAGATTTGTATGGGGCTCTCATCGCACGCTATGACTGTAAGTAAAGGGTGCTTTCTTTCCTTTTTATTATTAAGTATAAGTTCACAAATTCTCACATACTCAAATGTTAAAACTGTTTATTATATATGTTTTACCATGGACTGTTCAATATAAAAAGAAATTCAGATAAATCGTTACTGTCCATGGACAACGCAATAATACATCTAAAAAGCACCCTTTATGTGTAATCGTGACCATATTTGTGGGCCCCACACATTATTTTTGGCTTTGTCGGCTGTTAACCCTCATTCGGCATTTGGCAAACGTCAAATTCAAATAAAATGTGTGCATACTATATACATATATATCCACATAATTATTAATGTAGGCATAAACTGAGAAATACGCTTACGTATGTACATATATACAGAGTTCTTATACCTGCGAATTATCAGAATTGAAGAAGGTTATCAATAGAACAGCAACAACAGCAGCGGCGTGGAAGAAACTGCAACTTGTAAAGACATATGGAGAGAGAGAAATAAAAGAGCGAAAAATCAATCTGTTGGGCAAGTGCTTGAGCGCGCTTAATTGAAAGCGACTAAATGAGTAACCTTTATAATAGATTGAGTGACTGGACTGATTGGCTGAGTATTGACTGACTGACAAATCGGTTACAGTCAACGCGCTCAAATTAAAAAGTCTGCTTACTGTGGCCTTCCAACGTTCAAAAAAGACAAAGAACAATAAGAACAAATGAGAACTAGAAGAAATAAAATAAGAATAACTAATTGTTGCTTTGTTACGAAACTATCGTGAGCATTTTATTGTGGCGGCAATTCTGATTGTCAGTTTTTTATATTTATATATTTGTCTTTTATGAAAGTGGTAAGACGACAAAATTGGCAAGAAAAACAAAAAAAAAAAGGCTATGCTTAGTAATGTGCAATTTTTTCTATATCTTCTGGCCACATTCATACGAATGTAAATACTATAGAAACGTAAGGCGTGGCAGATTCCATTATTTATTTACACACATTTATAAATCCGAACAGGCAAAATTCTGTGGAGCGCTGAACTGATTTAATTATATATTTCCGAATATTTATACAAGGTGCGTTTCTAACTAAGCAGGGCTTTTTAAAAATAGGAAAAATCAAGTCAGTTGTATTCAAATACAATATACAAGCATGTGGAACGAGTGTTTCAAGGAGTCAAGGAGCATGCTGATCTTTTATGTACCATAACATTTTCCTATATCTAAGACCTCTGATCAACGTTGCGCATACGCCGAGTGTGACAAAAAAGTTGAAAATACCAAGAGTTCGGCTTGACCTGCCCCAATGGTGTCCACACGCCTGCCACGCGACACTCGAGGCACTTACATATTCATTTCGCTGAATTCCAATTACGAGTACAGCGCGTTTGGACTTTGCCACCACAAATACAAATACAAATACAAAAACACACACACACACATTCACACATTCAGTCGCCCTATCGAAGAGAGTTAATGGGATTAGGCTTCGGTTACAAGCGCTGACCAAGCGACGGTCGACCACACGACGCCTTTGGTCTTGCGTTTTGGAATTCGAGGCGCACGCCGAACCCAAATTGCACAATGAAACTAAAATGACACTTCAGTGGGCCAACCAGCTATCCATCTATCCATCCATCCACAAGCTTACAAGCGCACCCACATACGTATTTGTCGTGGGTTGTTTGACTCGTCATAATTGTTTAATTCGCTTGAAAATGATTGTGTATAGTGGCAGTATGCAGTAGATACTTGTATAGCGAGTGTTATGAGTGTGTGATGTCTGCCAAGGTGTTGGGAACTACCGTTCGAAAATCGAGGCCCCCAGTTGGCGGCTAATGCCTAGCCACGGCTATCAGTTTCCCATTTGGTTTGCGACGCTGACTTGGCTTGATTACAATGCGCCAACTGTCCCGGCCAAGAGGCGAATCAACCGCAGTTCCCACAATTTGTTTTTGCTTCAAAATGAGTCGAGAGTTTCGCAGTGCGCCCCATCTTCGTACTTTTATGACTTGATGATGACTGACTTGGCCCCTGCGACTTGTGACAGTCAGAGCTTGCGGCTGCGGCTTCGACTGCGACTATATCTCTGCCGGCTACCGTTTCTGTTACTTTTTTTTGATGACTTTATCATTACGCGCCAAAGTATTAGCCATGCAGTTCCCAAGCCATCTAACCAAAAATAGTAAAAATAATAATAATGATACAAAGAAACACAAACTAGACCACAAAGATACGGCAAAGCGGCAACTGCCGACTGCAGTCGATGTGGAAAAGTGGATTTTAGAAATGAACGAGTACAGTGAAATCTTCGCGTGTTCGTTACTGTTGTTGCTATTGTTGCTGTTGTTGTTGTTATTGTTGCGGCTGTTGTTACTGTTGTGCTGCGTGCTTCAGTTAAAATGAAAAGTCTCGTGTTAATGCAAATACTTTGCATATTAAACTAACCAAGTTTCACTAATGCCGTATATTCATTTCTTTTCTTTTCTGCTTCTATTTTACAGGCGCTTAGTTAAAAATTATCAGCCCAAAAAGAAAGAGGAGGAAGACAATGAGTAAGCAAAATATTAATATTATTACTATTATTATTAAAAGTACACACATATGCATAAAGCAATATTATTCAGTTTTCTTTTGTTTGTTTAAACTCTTTTCGGAAAACCGTTGCTGTACAATTTGTGCACATTAACTTCTGTTTTTGTTTGCCTTTTGCGTTTGTGAAGTGCTAAGTGGATTTTAGTTCAGACACACATACTATACATACTACACATAAGTCGTCTTCATATGACTGGTGCCTAATTGGGCGCGTCAACAATTTGATTTGCGCATAATTTCAACCAAAATTCTCAAAACCAGAAGCAAAGTGTTGCTTAGAAAAATAGCTTTCACTCTTTGTTGCAGAACTAAATGGAAGATCTGTCTGAACCCAAATACAGATCGACATTTTTGTCCATTTGGTTCGGTGCCCAAAAAAATGTGAATATTAGAGCACTGCATGGGTGCACGCTTAAATGAGGGTTTGAACGAATTACTCAATGTAATTCAATTTGATGGTTCTTACAAGTATTTGTGAGGTGGGGCCAATGAGTTAACCTTTATAAAATATATAAAAAGCGAGTGTACCCTTTATATGAATCATCATACCTACATATATCATCAAAATATAAATTTTGTATTTTACATCCAAAATAATAAATATGTATGAGGCAGTACACAAGCATAGATCATAGATACTTGTATGTATTCTTAATCAGCAATGCAATCTTTCAGATTATCTAGCTCCTGACCTAGCTAGATGCTTTTCGGTGTTGCCAACAACATTTTGAAGCTATTTGAAGCTAAACGGGTGTACACTCATTTATGCCATAAAAAAGTTAGTGTTCGCTTTATATGAATCCAAGTTCTTAAATAGAATCAATATTTTCTATAATGCGCCTTTTATGAATTACTTTTCATAAATGTTGTGGACTGCTTTAACGTATATTTAATACAATAATATTGAGTCCGGACATTTCAACTACCACATAATTCCTAAATAAACATTATTTGCTCGTTCTTATTTCTAATATTTAAAGTATTTTTTAATTCTGTAGATAGTAGTTCTGATTTAAGTAATTAGCCATTTAATATACTACGCCTTATAATTAATTTTATTCAAATGCACTTACAACCCTAGGTCCTTTAGGAAAATATTGTTAAATTTTTGTTAAATAAATCAATGATTTCAAAAAGAGTTAACAATCGGGTAAGGCTGCAGTTTTAAAAATTTTTCGAGATATTAAGTGGTTGAGTTTCTTAGACCCATCTGAAAAATCTTAGTTTTTGCGTGACTAAATAAAACGAAAAGCAATTTGAATTTTTCATATCAAACATCATAATTTTCAAACTTCAAGTAAACAAAGTACAATAGAGATCTCACAATTATAGGGTTCGATGTCAGATCTGCAATCTCTGTGTGTCTGTGTGCCACGCAAATTCTGTCATCTTTTTGTACGTCAGCTCACATTTAATTACATGCATGTCTAGAGACTCCCATTCGTCCCCAGCACCCTTCTTTATGCTTTATGGCCCGACTGTGGGTTGGCGTTTGCCAGCTGACTGACATCACGGTCTCAAATATGTAGGCATGTCGGTGCTCGTAGGAACTCAATATTTATCACCATGTCCGAGCCAAGATGGCATTTGTGTAAAACGTATGACAATGAAGCGTCGTAGCCACATTGAAGGCCCAAGCCATAGACTTGCCGACTTGAAGAGTTGGTAATGAAACGTCATCGAGTTTTGTGCGCCTTATACAGTTGTAAAGGCCATACATGTACGAGCTGTTGTCGGTCAGTCCGGCGATGACAGAAGCGCGTGGGCGTCAATAAAAATATATTACACAAGCTAAGCTGAATGAATGAATCCTAAAAGCATGCCATTAATGTGTTGGTTTTCCTTTACACGCAGATTTACATCGATTCAGGCGTTCCGAAATCTGCTGAAAGAGATCAGCGATTTGGCTGGCCAGAGGGAGGTGGTGTCGGAGACATTGCAACTACAGATTATTCAGGGTGTAACGTTGCTATCCAAAACGTTACGCGAGGAACGAAAGGTAATCTTACTTTAGCCATATCAGTTTCAATAAATACAAGTACTATAAAGCTCTCGTTCGCCCACAGAAATGCCTCAATGATGGCACCATGCTGCAAGAAAACCTCCGCACACAGCTATCCTCACTTGAGCGTGCTAAACGCAATTACGAGAAGGCCTATCGCGAGTCGGAGAAGGCCGTGGAAGGCTACAAAAAGGCCGACATGGATCTCAATCTGAGTCGCGCCGAAGTCGAACGCTATAAGAACACAATGACTGCAAAAATTCAGCAGTCCGACGATGCGAAAAACGAGTACGCCAATCAACTGCAGAAGACGAACAATCTGCAGCAACAACACTTCAACCTGCTGTTACCCTCCGTATTCAATCGCCTGCAGGAGCTCGATGAGAAGCGCACGCGTGGCATACGCGAATTCATAATTGGAGCAGCGGATGTGGAGTCATCGGTGGCGCCTATAATTGCGCGTTGCATGGAGGGTATTGTAAAGGCCGGCGAGTCCATTAACGAGAAGGAGGACTCGTTTAAAGTCATAGAGAGGTTTGCTTGCTTATTTCCCATGCACCATAGATATGATATTATTACTTTGTTCCATAGATACCAATCAGGATTCCCGCAACCCACAGATATACCCTTCGAGGACTTATCAAAGGTTTCTCCGGAGAACCTAAACGACTCTCAGTACATTAATGGCCCGTCAAATCACCTGACCCTGAAGGGCACGATCAGCGCTAAACAGATAAGGAAGCGCGTTGGCATTTTCAACATATTCGGCAGCAATAAGGTGAGCGGTTCTGTGACCGCAATTTAACTTGTCCGTTGTCCAAGTTCTTAGGTTTCTTAGGTTTCTTCTCTCGTGGATTGTTAGTACTCTGCCCTTCCCTCCCACCAACTGTTAGTTTTCTGTTCATTAGATATTTGTTTACTTAGTCTTAAGTTATGCGTTAAGCCGTAAATCTCTATCTTTCGTTTACTCACGTCGATTCTCTTTTCCTTTCTTACTTTTATCAACCATCACATATATACATATATATTTATGTATATGTATATATATTTACTTAATTTCTGTAACAAAACAATGGGACGTTGGTTCTAATATTTGCTGTAAGTACCAAGTGTACAGAGCAAGCGCGCTAGCGCCGGCTCATCTCATCTCTTGTAATGCTATGCTCAAGTCGATAAATATGTATATATATATATATATATATACCAACGATCGTTCCATGTACTCACCCATGCGCCCATACTGAACAAATGCATAAGTTTTGTATTAAAAAGACTATAATGTGCCCAAAAATGCTTTCATTATTCGTAACTAATACTTGCTAGTTGTGAAAATTGCGTTCAGCTTTTCTTGTTTTCAATTTGGCTTACAGTTTTGGTTTTGTGCAACAAATACGAGGCTTCTTTTAAGACATACCCACACACATACACACGCACTCACATACACACACACACACACACAAGTGAATTGATTGAATTAACTCGAATTATTGATTTATATTTTGCGCTACATTAAAATTTAATTCTTTAACCAACATGCTTTTACTCACACAATTACACGGACGACACTCCAAAAACAAAAAACTAAATTAAACACTCTACTAACTGCGATATGTGATACAATTTCGAACGATTTAAATATAAACCAAAATTCGCTGCCATAGCAACGGCAGATAATTGAAGCCTGTATCACAATGAAGGTATGATGAACATTCCAGCTCTTCTACGTAACTCTAACTAGCTTATCATAAGTGCTACCCTATACTAATCATCACTGCTAACCCTACATTAATCTAAGCGATCTCCAAATACAATTCTCACATTCAAAATCTAACCACAAGAATAATTCCAATCTGATCTACTTAGTCCTAAACTATAATTAAACTCACATAAGTAAAAGACAAAAGACTCAAACCGCAATATTTTTATTTATATGTATGAGTTCCAATGAGGCAACATTTTCAGTTAGGTTTGTTTTAGTTTCCTCTAGCATTATTGAAGCATTTCTTTTTTTTTTTTTTTTAATATATTATGTTTGAGGTGCTTACAAAATAAGTTGTATTCTGAAGCATGTCTGTCCAATTACAATCTAATCATGCTTTTGTCTCCTTTTGTTGTTTCAATTACTTTCTAACCAACGCCATCTAGCATATACTATCTGGCACCCGTTCTTTTTTTTAATTTGTATTCGTACTCGTTGCATTTGTCTACCATAGGCTACAGAGCTGTCTTAAGCAGAATTAACTTACATTTGAACTAAATTTGTATAATTTCGACGCAACAGAATTCGTTAACTGTGGATGGCCAAAAGGAGGACTTTAGCGATTTGCCGCCAAATCAGAGACGCAAGAAATTGCTGGCAAAAATCGCCGAGCTAGAACATAAAATTATACAGGAAACGAATGCTCGCGACGGCCTTATGAAAATGAAAATCGTCTATGAGGCGAACTCATCGCTGGGCAATCCCATGACAGTCGAAGGACAACTTAACGAATCGGAGCACAAACTGGAGAAGCTGAGAGCCGACTTTAAGAAATATCAAGGGTATTTGGAGAAGGCAAATCAATTACAGGTCGCCAACAATAGTCCGCAGTCGAATCGCAATCAACTCCAGAACGGACATCGAACATCGAGGTGAGAGACATTAAAAATAAATGCATGTACAAAGCATATGTATATACTTGTAATGACTATCCTGTTTCCACTGCAGACATTCCAACGGTAGCGCCGATGATCATCACGATGAGGGCGAAGATCATCCCGACGATGCTGGCAGCTTAAGCAGGTCAGATTCTGAGGATAATGTGGCGCAAATACCAAATGGGCATAATAATAACAATAACGGGTACACCATAAGTCTATGTTCAAATGTTTATATACCCACCCACAAACCCACACATCAACATACAATACACACTCACCACTTTATCGTATCATTATTGTTTCGATTAATCGTCTCATATTTTGTAGTGTAATTGCATTATCGGTTAGTGGCGACAAAGCTATGGTTTGGTTTTTTTGTTTTTGTTTGCTTGTCGGTTTCTTTAACGCACAAAGCACCCAATTTTGGTTTTCATGCTGTACAATCGCTTCAAAAAATAACAAAAATGTACCCAAAATATTGTGCCACAATGTGCCAAAAAAAAAGGAGAAAAGAAACAGTGTTTTTTTTTTTCTTATTGTAAAGCATAGTAATACTTCTTTTAATGAGTAGAAAATTCTGATGTTGATTTTCTTAATGCTTACACGACCAACATATAACACGCTTAATAATGTCGAAATTGCAACTCTTCAAATATTTCGTTTCAATTTGCCTTTTCCATGGTGAAATCCAGCAGTTCAGCAAGTCCCGAAAGCGGGCTGGGTACCTCGCACACATCGCTGCCCGGCTCGGGGCAGGGCAGTGCGAATGAGAATGCCATTGGCGAGGACGCCTACTACGAGACGGAGGTGGAAGCATTAAATCCTTTGGGTACATGTCGAGCGCTCTACCCATTCGAAGGTAAGTGACGGCCGATTTCATATGAACAAGCTACATTTAATTTAATCTTTCGCGATTTACAGCCACCAGCGAGGGCAGCATACCCATGACTGAGGGAGAGGAGCTACAAGTGATTGAAATCGATCAGGGCGATGGTTGGACGCGTGTACGTCGTGCGAATAACTCAAATGGTTGGGATGAGGGCTTCGTACCCACGAGCTATATCGAATGCACGCTCTTTGCTTAAGATTATTGCTCTATAAAACGTTAACTACTAAGCAGCATTTACATATGTTTTTGTCACAATTTTTCAATCGCTAGACTAAAAACATACCCTGACACACACATACACATCCACATCCACACACTCACACATCCAATCCACGACTATTTGCCAAGGCAATCGCAACTGCCTTACGCTTAGTTTAAACTTGTTTGTATATTTACTTTGATTTTAAATGGAGCGAGAGATGATTATATAGTTGTGCACGTCATATCATATCTAAATATACAAGCATACATAAACTAATATGCACTATAAATCAGGCAGACCTCATACATACGTGCACGCACACATGTATTTCTAAGCAACTTACTATAAATGCACCCACAAGGTACCCTCTTCACAATCATGATATAAATATATTTTTTACATCTACATATACATATATGTATGTATTACTAAATTATATGGCACTTGTAAAATTATGTGAAATCCATAATATCAATGCATTTTAGACATTGCTGACCAAATTATTGCCTAATGTTATAATAAATAAATCTCCTGGGCACGTTGAAGCCGCAGCGGCTTGCAACATGCTTCGGACATTTATTTGAATATACATAGTTAATTGATAGCACCTGCACTTTTCGGGCCGACCAGGAAAAGCTGCAGCCTTTGTCGCTATCGTCAGGCATTTTAAACAAGAGAAACTAATCGCCCAATGCACTTCAGTCGATTGTACTTGTATTTACCATACCACCTGCACAACAACAACTACCACAACAACCACAACCAACCGACTCAAACGAAATCTATCAACAATTATCTAAAAAGCTGTGGCAATTTTGTGTAAATTACACACGAAACATATGTAAATTTTTGAAACGAGGACCGCGATAGTTTGTTTTATACAATACATATAAATAGCAACAATTGTACAATATATATGTTACTCATTATTAATTTTAATTATAATTCTAATTTAATTTCGTATTGCTTTCTGTCATAAGCGCATTACCTTTGTACATTTTTTTGCATATGCTTACAATACAAAACCATTCATTGAAGGAAATAAGAGAGATGAGAATATGAGAACAGAGCTCCTGCTTGTAAATTATTTTAGGTACTGTAAATGTTTATGTTGAACACGATTAAGTCAAGCAAAGTTGTGGGTCACTTTGCAAATGTGCATTAATATATAAATTTAAACTAAACATAAAACAAAACGAAAACTTAACTAAAATCAAAAACCCAAAGTCTGCAGCCTGGGACAACATAGAGTTCAGCGCGGGCGAGCGAGTGAATTAAGTACTATTTTTAATTACTTTTTGCAGCCTTTTCTTTATTTTCATACCACATAGACATCTGTATTATGATTTAGATCTAAGACCGCTAAGAACGAACATGAATTCTGTTTGTGTTTAAAATAACTATAAAGGAAAATAGCTAGTTTTACGCAAATAAAAATACATATAAACGTAATTCCAAAATTACTAAATATACATTATTTATAATAATTTGAGGTGCGTTTTCTCAGTGTCCAGTTAACAAGTCGGACCTTTCCTAATTTTCATGCTCCTTATGAAATGCCTTAAAGCGTTCGAAAAAAGTTAAAGTATAGTCAGCGCTGATTAAGTTAGGATGTAATCCAATGTTAACTGCTAACCAAAGGGCCATTGAGAAAACACCCCCAAATAAAAAATATTGTGAAACATAATGAATTTGTATTTACATAACTGAAAATGTAATTGGCTGACGGAATGACCAACAACGTCATTAATGAGTGGTATACATACATACACACATACATATGTACTAAGGCATGACAAGAAAATATTATTTCAAAAATAAAATGAATATAAATCTGAAAGTGTATTCGTTTTTTTTAAAAGGTGCAAAATGAATTTTGATGTATGTAATTGGATCCTGGTTTTTGTACCCTGTTTCCGAACGAAAAGCAAAGAGAAAACAACTATTTAAAGTTGTATTAGCAAATAGGAAGGAGCACCGAGATAGGGCGTGACTAGAAATCTGTTAATATTTAAAGCCTTTCCACACCTATTACCTACATATGTGGGTATGCATATTCTCGGACATGTCGCAATTTCGAGCATATGACAACTACGAGTATTTATGCCGAGGATCACAGAGATCTGAAAGCCAAGCAATTCAAATTACAATAATTTGGCAATTCAATTTCAGATCTTCGCAATTAGATATAGCCTCTGTACCACTTCTTTAGGTGATAGATTAGGGTCTATTAAAAAATAGAAGCTTTTATTTTTGGAAAAAGTTATACGCTAGCGTTGGAGTTCGAAAGTTTATATACCCATACAAATGTAGTTCTGAAACCTATCAATCAATTCCAATTTTGCATTATGAAAGACATTTTAGCAGTCCGATTCTGGTCAACTTTAAATATATGTTGTTACATTATATATGTAAAACATTCACATGCGATTTGGTAGGATGTCTTTAAAGGCAACTACATATGGGATATTTTTTGGGATTTTTTGCAAAAATGTCAATTAAAAATTGAAATGCTAAAATTTGTGCACCTAAAGCAATTAAACCCTTGCTATATACCATTATTTTTAATTGTTTAAAAGTTGCTTTACGGTTTTTGAAACTTATTTCACCTAAATTGTTGTGTACAAGTTTAAAAGTCAATATTCCATGCGACTCCATTGCCAATTCAAGGACGAAATAGCCTAGAGAGAATATGATTATATTATTTACGCAGTTTTTAAAACTAATTCTATTCAAATGTTTACACAAGTTGTTTCTGGGGAGTTAGAATGATAAAATAAACATGTACTTACCATGTTTGGTTATTTTAGCTTTTATTAATATGTACATATAGTAGGATCAAGAATATATAGACTTCAAGAGTAAGCCTTTCTCTATATTACATACAACCTCGCTAAACTAGTATGTATATCCTTTTACCCTTTTGTTTTTACTATGTATGTATAATAAAAAGAAGCAGTTTTCGTAACTTTTCTCCAAAAGGTATGTGAGAAAGGCTATATGTGTTGCAAAGCTAGCTGATATAGAACTGGACGTGCTATACATAGACTGCTGCATAACTCATGATGGTGGATATCCGTACTAAAGCGAATGGCAATGCTACAGTCGTGGCACATTCAAAGTACACTCGTGTTCAAATAAATATGTTTATTGAATTCCAATTTGATATACATACTTGTATTTTGGTGTGGATTTTCTTTGTTTTTGCTACACGTAATTTTCATGGTATATATAATACATACATATATGTATGCTCTTTTGTATATATGTATATATAATTATATATTTTATATGTTCACATCGTTATATATGTACGTGTATATGTGTAAGTTTGCGATACATAATTAATAGTAAGTATTTAACAAATATAAGCTTTGCTACATTTTCTGTACTTTTAAAGCACATCATCTATTATAATTGCTAGTCCTTGCCCCAAAAAGAGAACCTCTTGGTTTTACTCTGATATGGTGTTGTTTTTACATTCTCCCAGCTACTATTCGTAATTACAATTATAGTAAATGTCGTTTAGCATAATAGTACAAGTATAGTAAGTGTATAGACAGAGTTCAGTAGAAAAGATCAAATAGGCCTTAGGATTAATAAATGTATAGTAGCTATAGCAACAGTTTTGTAATTCGTACTTAAGTTTAAGAGTCGAAGGTAACAGCTCTTGCCGAAAAGAGAGTTTCTTTTTAAATAACAATGAGAACAATAGTTTTTTACGGAGCACAACCATTTTTGTTTTAGTTTTTTGTTTTCGTTTTTGTTCGCCAACTACGTTTCCTAAGCTAACATGGTAAGTCAACAGCCAAAGTGTGGAAAGTACAGTTAGTATATAGTAATAAGTAAATAGTAAATAGCGAATAAATAGTATCTGCTGCGGTAAGTGTGATTTACCCTGACTACCTTGACAAGTACAATATGCAGTTTAGCTTACGAGTACGCCTTACATAAAGACAACTAAGTTCGCACAATACAATTAACATTATAGGTACATGGTACAATATATATAGTGCTTGATATACAATATATCTGTTCAAGAAACTAGATTTTGCCAAAGTCAAATCCGAGGAAACCCCGTGCAGGCCTCCTAAGACTGTGTGTGTGTGTGTGTGAAGACTTCTTGGAAGGTTATTTAATAAATGCCTCAACGAACGCAAAAGTTGTGCTGGCATCATTATTTTTAAGAGTCGTGTAGTCACAGCAATTTCTTTAGAGTGTTAGCTGCTAGTCAGATGTTGTTAAAAAGTTGCAACTTCCGTTAGTTGCAAATATTTTAGCTAAGTTTTATCATATGCTATAAATTAATGTGTTCTTGTGTGTGTGTGTGTGTGTGTGTGTGTACATATAGTAGTATAGTTAGTAAGCTAGTTGGTTACATTAGCTCGCTTCCCTTTTCTAACAAAATGTTTGAAACTACAAGTCAATTACTTGAATGCTAAAGTACAAGTACAAGCACAAATGTTTAGACGCTCGTACATGTGTATAAGTTTAATTCACTTTTTAATTTCATTACAGAGATTGTCCTGATAATTTTTTTGAAACTGCAACAGTAAGTTTATTGAGGCCCGAAAAGTCCAGGGCCAGCGGAAGTGGGAAGAGAGTGGGTATATTCATTTGGAGTATCGGCTAACAAAATAACTACAAGTATGTATAGTAAATTCATTTGCCTTACCAGCCTCGATATCTGGCTATGCAAACACTTTCTGCATCAGCAATACGGAATTTTGCATCCCAATGAGTTATTAATTTATTAAAAACACTTTTTTTAATGTTGTAAGTATGTCCTGTTTTTAAAATAAAACGAACTATTGTGCTATTAAATCAATGAATTGTATATAATGCATGTGAAAAGAAGTAAAAATTTGCATAAAACCAAAATTCAAAATTAATTAAATTTAAATTTAATGATGTAACATTTCACAAAATCTTTTTTTAGAAATAATAAATATACTTTATATACAACATTTTAATAATAATTGATTTGTTTTTATAGTGCAATGGAAATTATTTTTATTTTAATAATAACTCGTTTTTTTATATAAATACTATGTCACTGTTTTGTGGACAGTTTGAAAAACATAGTTTCCTTTTTATTGATATGGCGGTTTTTGAAAAAATTAAAATTTAAATAATAAGTTGAACGTAAAAACGAGTTGAAAGCTAGGGGCGTATGCGCCTGACTTTAAAACAAGTGATCCCCCAACTAAGTTCAATAATCAATTGAGTTTAACACAAATTAAATTTTGTAAATTTTTCAATTTACAATTTCATCATTCTGCAATTTTGGAAATTTTGAAATCGAATTGTTGTAGAGCCTATTTAGCTAAATAGAACAATTCCAGAGGATGTTATAGCCGCAAATGTAATCTCTCTTCATGCTCTGGCAGCAGATGTTGTTGTGATTCAAAAAAATAAAATTAATATCTATTTAAAAAAAAAAGTGCCCTGTTGCTGATATGTGGGGTGCATTCAATACCAGATGTGCGAGCCTGCTAAGACAGACAAACTAATACGCTATGCCTCGCTTAAATGTAGTACAGGAATATAGTAAATTCGTCTTAATCACGCTTCAGAGACGCACATACTGACACTCCCAAACAAACACACACATACGTAATACCCACGGAAAAACTCGCTCAACTCGCCATCGTTTTCGCCTTTCATAGTGCATGAAGATTGTCACATCAACAAAGTTTTGTGCTTTTGGTTTCTTATTTTGTTTTATAGTACATATAGTATACATATATATCTGAAGATTAATTTAGCTTCGTTTTTAGAAGTGAGGAAAGTTTGCGTTGCCGTTACAATTGCCGTCGCAGTTAACACCTTTGTTGGCCTGGTCGCTGCTCTACTCGTAGTTGAGGTTCCTCCGGCTTTTTGGTTAATTTCGTTTTACAAGTATTTTTCTATTTCATTCCTGCCAAGTCCTGCTTTTCCTTGATTTGCAATTTCGTTGCTATAATTTCTGCACTTTATTGTTTTGTTGCGCTTTTTGGTTTTTGTACAAGTCCTTCATTTATCATACAAACAACAACATGCCATAAACTTTCACAAACACAACAAGCAAAAATATAATTGGTATTATTGTAGCTTCCTTGGTAAATTTATATACGTATGTATGTATGTTTGTATATATTTATGTATGTATATGCTATATAATATGCAAGGTCTTTGGATTAAAACAGCTTCATTGCCCCCTTTGCCAAGCTCTGTTTACGATTACAAAACATAAATACCTCTCTATACAAGTATTAGTGGGTACGAGTATATATAGAATGTATGTATATACGTGTGTATATATATATATAGGTAGTTTGTCTGGACTAGCTTGATTAATTAACAACAAATACAATCAGTGTTTTGTTTTTTCGTTATGCTTAGATGCTAACAAATTGAGCTTTTAGTTTGAATAACATAAGTTTTAGTATTGGTGTTATGCTTTTCATGTTTATTGTTATTGGTGTTGGTGTTTGTGTTGCGTCCGCCCCACTCGCCCGATCCGAAGTGTGCGTGTTCGGTCAAGGAGAGTTATCGGAGTCGGAGCCGCCATAGCTGTGCATGGGAAACAGTGGATACCAGCCGCTGATGTGCTGCCCGATGTTCACCTTGTCCAGATTGATTTCGGTGCCGCCCAGTCCTTGGTTGTGCTCGAAGCCCACGCAACGCTGCCACACCATGATGACGATGTTCCGCCCAAAGACATCAGCGCTCTAAAATTGATTGTAATTAGATGATGCTGTCTGAGCGAGGTCCAAAATAAACACAGCTCAGCAGTCCCAAATAACGGACGAAAGGTCGTATGCCAATGCCGCTAATTAGGCAACATGCAACGGCTAGACGATGCCGTCAACATTTTCACATGCGCGCCATGCCATATTTTCAATAAATTAAAGGCTGGGCAAAGGCCCAGCCAGTCGCGAGCAACAAATTGCTGGCGTAATAAAATACGCCACTCTGACGACAATGACGACGCCGATGAGGTCCCTGACGGCAGCAGGCCACGCCCAGACCGACTATTAATCGTATTACAATGCAGCAGAAGAGGGCAGCAATAACGACCGGCTTTCCCGCGCTGGCTTTCTGGCTGGCCCGTGAGGCCCTCAAACACACATCACATCACATTATCATCATCATAGTCGCCATCATTGGCGCCATTACCATTAGCGACAAGCGACAAAATGACAAACAAAAGCATTCACGCTTTATGGCCGACTAGCTTACCTGGTACTTGATGGTCTGCTTGTAAAACGGCTCGGCTGAATGCCGCACAACGCGTGTCTTCTTCTTGTGCCGCAGACGATCGCCATCCTTAATGTAGCACTTGACATATGTGTCCGGTGGCGTCTCACATTCGGCCGCCACAATGTTGCGTGCACAAATCAACTATACATAAATAAACAACAATAAACAAACAAGAATTTGTCAATGTAAATGACCAGACATGTCCCTTAGCTTGTCTCTGTGACAAGGTGACAAGGTCAAGGGCGCAAGCCAAATCCTACTCCTGCCCCTCTTCTCTTCTCCTTGCGATTCCTTTGAAATGAGATGTCAAAGCGAATTGAGAACATGTTTTCGAAAGTGTCTCAATAAATATATAACGAGCTCGATTTCATCTCTTTCATTTTACACGCTGTAGTCGTTAATGAAATGCTTAATTCTGGCCAACACACACACCACTTGGATAATTGCTAGACATACTTGACATACACGAAGAAAATATCGCTTGACTATTTTGAGCACAAATTATTTGTTAAATGTTATAATCTGGTAAATAATTGGTTGATTTAACTAAGAACGAGTGTCCATAAATTGCTGGAGTAAATGAATGGATTTTCAGGCAGGTTTACTGCAGAAACTACAAGTAGTCTGAGTAAGAACCAATTTCTTGGGTTTTTAGTAAAACCACAATGGAAAGCATTTATCGAAAAATTGTACATATTTAGTTACTACATATGTATAAGTGTTTATACGTTTAAAAAGTAAGAAACTAAAAACTAAATTAACAATAATTTCCGATTGGGAAGAAACAAATAAAAAGTGAATGACCTCAATTTCCAAACGAGGGGCTAAAATGTATTTCATTTAAAAAGATGGAGTTCTGTTAAAAATGTGTTTTTAAATTTTGTTAAAACTGGGATTCCTCTAATGACTTAAATACCTATATATTTATATGATATATTTTTTGTGGGATTATTGGAATGTTTTTTTAAGAATTATTATTTCTGTGCCACAATTTATTTAAACACCACATCAAATTTATTTCAGTGCTAAGAGTGCATTCTTCCAAGCATTTTGCTTAAGAAGTTTATTCACTACGACAAATTAATAACCTTTGAGAGCTTCTACTTCTGTTATTTGAACAAAATCTCTTTGAAGATGGCTTTAACCCTTAATGGGTGCATTATTGTATACTAACCTCCACCTCCACGTTGCCCTTGATTTTGATGAAACCCATCTTCAGTTCCCCATGACGTGCTGTGGTCAGACGATAGCCCTTTGGATGTATTTGTGAGGGGCCCAGCTTTAGGCCATAGCTCGACTCACTACCGGTGAGGGCCGAAACATTGCCATAGCTGCCGGTTAGACTGCCAGCCATACCTTTGGCCATGCTCTGCTTGCGCTGCGCCAGCGTTGGGGTCGGACTCTCGTTATCTCGGTCTGCGTTGGCCGAGGTGCTGGACCGTTGATAGACGCTACCCTTGCGCTGGAAAGGCTGATGCGCCTCTTGCGTTGTAGTGTTTAGCTGGAACATGCTGCTCTTGCGCTGCTGCAGCTGAGAGGCGGAAAGATCCTGGCCGCTGCTCCTCAGGTTGCACATGCTGCTCTTGCGCAATGTCTGCTTGGGACTGTCGCCTATGCCGACACCCAGCAGCTGGCTCGGCTTTTCTTGAGCCACGTTCGAAAAGGATGCAGCTTGCTTAAGACGCGACAGTGCCTGTTTGGCGCTTTGAGGTGGCAACTGGGTGCCGGATCCCTTCCAGCGTGGTCGATAGCGTCGATCTTCATCATCGGATGGCGGACTGGTCTCTGTGTTGCCAACGCCCATTGGCAGATGCTGCTGTTGCTGTAGCTGCAACATTTGTAGTTGCTGAAGCTGTTGTTGTTGCTGTGACAGATCGAGAATGGAGCTCTTGCGGCTGTTTGGACCACTGGGCAGGCCGACGCGACTGGTACCTGGGAAGAAACGGCAGAACGGTTAGCAGAAGAAGATACTGCTGGACTTGCTGTCAACTCAACTGAACAAAGTTCAACTCAAAGTGTTCACTTAATGCCTACATCATAATCTAAGATATTCACTGAGTAGAGCATTAAAAACTACGAGGAAAAAATAACAACACCAAATGGAAGCATGCACAATACAATTGAGATTATTATTTTATTTTATTTTATTTATACATAAATAAAAATCACTTTAAAATCATTATAAATCTCGAACAAGATTTCGTTACAGAGTAAGCAAAATCAATCATCAATAAAAACGAACTTTAATAACTGATTTCATCATCTTGTAGTTTTATGAAGGACCATAAAAATATTCAAATTATATTTTAAATATCCGAAGAAATGCTCAAGTTACCTGTTTCCAGTCTATTTTTATAAAAGCCTGTTTCGAATGGTTTTATGAATTTTGTGAAAAAATTTAGCTTAGTTTATGATCTCAAAAGCATTTGATATACTTGTATGATGCTAGGATTCTGAACGGGACATCTAGGCCCTGCTATGAGACTGCTTTTTGGGGTGATTGAGAGCTTGCTTACTGCTAATAGTTGCTATTAAAAAATTTCAAATTGTTCATGAAATTCAAGTTATAAAGATATCGTCGAATTCAAAGAATTTTCTATAATCGGGGCTAAAAGAAACTAAGGATCTGTAGGTGTTACTGGCAAAAACTAATCTTTATCGACCAATTTCCTGGCTAATTGATGCAAATTCTATTATAATCTTTGAATGTCTGGGGCGCAAATTGTTAAGCTGCAACATCTACTAAGAAATAAACGAGATCAACAAAGCAAGTCTGGTATTAATTATGTAACAGCCGTTAAAATAAGAAACAAGCAATAGACAAATAAGCAATAATATCAAGCATCATATTGCAATGCTTTTCACTTATTTGTAACTTGTTCTTTGTTCTTGGTTCTTGGTATAGATCGTCCCTTGTCATAGATTGTCTGCCCCCTAAGCCCTCACATATGTACATACTTACAACAAATAATAATTACGAGATATTAAAAGCTTCTATCCGACCATTGGAATATCTAGTGAATATATAGTATGTGAAAATTCAAAGCAATATCCGCAGTATCTGCTTGTGCTCCATCTAAGAGGTAAGAGGCATTCGCATGAAATGTGAATAATATAAATGATCTTCTCATATAGTCTAAATCTGAATGAGTGAATGCTTTTTTTCTAGTGGGCAGAGAGTTCAGAGTAACACAATGATATATGAGGGAGAGGGGATTACATCTGCACGCTCTCTGGTTATTCTACTCATTCTTTTATTAGTTTGATTTGTAAATGTTTAAGAAAGTGGTTGAAATGATTAAGTAAATGATTTAACGACTGCAGCCATGCAGACCTCTATTTATATGCAAATGCTTGGGGAACGGACTAAACGAGAAAAGTATTTCTCATCCCAAAAGATTATGTTGTCCTATCTCATGTTAAAGATTCCGCTTTAATGCATTAAAAGTATCACATCATTAGCGTACTAGTGCTAGATACTAAACGAATTTTCATGCTCCACGGTCGAATACTTTATGTGCTCAAAAAACGACTAGACGGCTTTGTAAAAGGTGTCCCTGAGATTTGCAAATGTAAAGGAGTTGCCTTTTGAAAATGGATGTGGATGAGGTGCTGCAGACCATAGGTAGATCGGTACCTATGCATTCCCTCATTGCCATTCAATTGCCTATTCACAGGATTCGGAACGGCACACATATACCTGTTGATATGCTGCAGCCTGTATGTGTTGGCCAGCGTGAATGACACAATGGGGATGTCCATCATAGTCGTGGTGTCGCAATGCGATCTCGAAACGGAGCCGTGGCAAAAGTCCCTACTAACTAGCGCTGGACTGACTGGCATGTCAATATCCGCCTTCTACATGGGCTACCAGACGGACATAAGTGGTCGAAGGCGGATCATGCGCATCACCATGCTTGGCACCTGTATCTGTTCGATGATATCTTCCCTGATGCCAAACATTTACCTGATGGCCGTTTGTCGTTTGACAAGCGGTTTGTTGTCAGTAAACATATACTTGTACTATGTACTATGATTGAGTTTTTTCTAATTTGGCCGTCTTTCATCATGTTGCAGCTTAGCGGGACCAGCCACTATTACCACTGCCTACTTTATGGAGTTCTGTGCACCCTCCTGGCGACCGACCATGGCGAATCTGCTTGGCTACAATATTGGCTTCTCAACCATTTACTGTGCTGTGGCGGCGAAGTACTTTTTACAAATCGATTGGTCATTACAACTGACCGATGCTTATAGCTTGCGTCCATGGCGCCTTCTTACACTGATCTACATATTACCCGGACTGTGTGGCCTGGTGTTCATTCAGTTTCTGCCCGAGAGCCCCTCTTACTTGATATCCGTGAAGCGAAATCAGGAAGCCTATGCTGTAATGAGTTGGTTGTGTCGGCGGAACCGCCGAAAAGATCTGGCCGATTTAGGTGTTACGGAGCTCAAGGAGACCCAGCGCACCACAGTTATCACCAAAACGAACTTTTTCCGTCTCATTTGGGACGACAGTGTCCGTGTTGTGAAGCCCCCGTACTTGCACGATTTTTGCATCTGTTCAGTGCTCATGTTCGGAATGTTTTTCACGTACGTCATGGAGCCGTAGCGCCCTTTTCTTAGTTAATTAATTAATTAATTTTTGCATATCTAAGCTCTATTGGTCTTGGGCTGTGGTTCCCACTATTGCGCAATCAGGAGAACTCGGACGGCCAAACGCTATGCGATGTACTGGAGAATGCCAAGGGTCTCCGGGCTCATATCGTGATTAAAGATATAAATAATGGTACTGAGGTGGTCACAGTTCTGCCATGCGATGATCACATGAAAAACTATCAGGATCCCATCCTGTTCGGGGTCAGCTACATAGCTGGATACGCATTCACTACTTTACTTCTTTACTTTGTGTCGCGGAAGCACTTGATCTGTGTATACCTATTGGCCGCCACACTCTGTTGCCTGCTGCTGAATATATTGCGGAACAACATGGCCATCGCTGTGTGCTTCACAGCGACACTTATGTTGCCGGGCGTAATGCTTGCTCAGGTCACCTCGGTGCTGGTGGACTGCATGCCCACACAGCTTCGGTACGAGCCTAGAATATCCAATACTCCGACACAGGACTGTATATATAATCATAGAATTTTCTTATAATTTTCTTTTATAGGGGCAAGGCACTTTCTCTGAGTCGCGCCCTTGCTCGCTTGGGTGGAATCCTAGGCAGTTATATTGTGGGATTCTTGCTTGTGGTTTCCTGTACTCTTACTATTAATATATTTGTATTCTGTTGCGGTGGTAAGTTGTTGGCTTACTGAACTAAGCTTCTACTAAGCTTTACTGCCCACCTTGTAGTTTCTGTATTCTTGGCCTGTATGCTGCCTGTCTGATAAATTCAGTAAAGCTATCCATAACGAAATACATATAATTTCTAGCGATTCTGAGCGAAAAATTTATGAAAATATGTATTGGTAGCTTAATAGAGAAATAATTAATAAATGTTTTCCAATCAGTCAACTATTTTACATGTTCATGTCAGAAAAAAAGCTTAAAAGCGCCGTCTGCTTTCTTTGATTATTTGATTGGGATTCAACAGTGCCATTTGATTTTATGTTTTTGAGAATTCATTCGTGGTCAAAATTTGTATTCAAAATACAAAAATCAATGTTAGTTTTGTGATATCTAATTGTTGCCCATGGAGGACCTGAATTTAACAGCGTTAAAGATATAATTTCCTTGCATATAAGTCCTCACATTAGTCCTCACAGGTAGTCTCAATTTTGTAGATCCCACAACATTTTTGTTTGAAAGAGCTAGATGTGGCAAGGGAACGTAGGAGTATAACAACTAGAAAGTAGTAATATTTTCTAGTATGATGTAACAATGCTTTTTGAGTGAAAATATGGAGACGGTGAGCTCTTAAGGGCTGTTGGTTATATTTTTAAAAGGGGCCTAAGGTGGCTAACTATCCACGTTTTAATACTTGGCTGACAGTTTTTTATATTTTTTCCTCCGCACACACTCAATTTGTGAAATGTGTCAATAAACAAATCAAATTGAGTACACTGCCGCTATGGGCTCTGTGGATATTGAGGAGGTCTTGGATTTGATTGGTAAATGCGATTTCATGCCATAACATGCCAGTTCTTATAGCGTAGGTCCTTGAATAGGATTTGGTCGAATACAGTTCTTCATGCTGATTGTCTGCGGCATAATTTGCATAACCGTGAGCAATGAGATTATCGGGATCAATATTTTGTTGGTGCCCATTGCCACAGAATTTGAGATGACCGACACGCAGCGCTCACAACTAACGAGCGCTGCCTTCTTGGGGATGATACTCTGCTCTCACTTTTCTGGCTATAAGGCCGACGTTATAGGAAGACGCAAGATGATGTTATATTCGGTTGTTGGCACCGCTGTTTTTTCGAATACGTCGGCCGCCATGCCCAACTTCTATTTGTTTCTTTTGATGCGATTCGTGACCGGCTTGTTGTAGGTATCTGTTGTTGCCACTAGTTCGTAATCATCTGTTATCCTTTGCAGCATAACCGGTGCATCCATGATCAACATATCCTACTTGTCGGAGTTCACGCCTAGGAAGTCACGACCGCGGATGGTCAACTTTATGAGTTATTTTATAGCATTGGGATCCATTTACGTGCCAAGTAAGTTCATCAGTTGAAGGCGATGTCAGTCAGTTATTTATGTTTAATTACTTAAGCAGGTATGGCGTATTTTCTGAGTCCTATGGACCGCATATTGTGCAGCATCGGTACTTTTGATCTACAAATGTGGCGCCTTGTTATAGTCATTAATACGACGCCAGCATTTGTCGCCTTTATTGCTATTCTATTGCTCCCAGAATCGGCCAAATTTTTGCTCTCCAAAGGAAATCATGAGCAGGCCTACGATACGCTCAATCGTCTAAG